AGATATATTATTTTTAAGCCCGTCATTTACCTGGCGGTGGCGTTGAGACCAGTGATTTCTGTGGTGTAGTCGGCGGATGTAGCGTGGAAGAAGCATAAGATGTCGGTGTCGTGTTATTACCGGCTGCAGCTTGCGGAGAAAGACCCAGCAATGTCTGCCAATTTACAAGAGGAGCCGGCGCCTCACTGACGGGTGCAGGTGCCGGGACCATACCTGTCCCGTTATCTTCACTTACCACATAATAACCTAAACATACCAGCTGAATAACTGAGGACAAAATAAACACGATGACAACTCAATCTTCAGTAGAAAACTCACCGCAGTAACTTGGACTCTGTATCTTGATTATAAATAGAATTGAATGGCTTTGACTGCTCCACAGTTCTCGACGACGGCGGCTTCGCTTCAGAAACGGGCTCGGGCTGAGGAGTTTTATAATCCTGCAACCATAAGAATAATACAGCCTAATCACGTATGAGCCTAAATAAACCCAGAAACCGATCATATTTCCAACTTTTAAGTCTTCGCATGCTTCTACGTTATACTTTTCAAATGAACAGATCAAATACGTTTTTGGCTCAATCCTATGAAGGACATCTCGTTGTTCATGATGAAATGTAAGGAAAGCTTAGCGTTAAAGCTGGTCACACTTGTTCACCCTAAAATTGACTGCCAATTACCCGCTTGAAACGCTCGCGCTATGGCTGCGTTTAAAGCGTGGGTAGGACGGATTCCAAAATCGGGGATTAGACGTTTTGAGAGTATTCGCGACCTCACAAAAGTCGAATCGCCAACTCTCCTATTCTCCCAAGCCGCCAAATCGATAACTACAAACACAGGCTCGAACACTTCGTTGCAAGGCCTGAGAGTTCAGAAGTATAAAAGGGTGCCACACTCCTATCGCTGCTGTGAAATAAAACCATAATACGAGGACGAAAACAATATTCGTTAGATCAGAATGCTGCTTAAAATATTCCATCATCTACACCAGGGACTGTTTAGAGATGAACTCGATTTAAGTGCTTGGCACGGCTAAATCGCCAGAACCACTGGAGAAAACAAAACTCGAATAATCACCTTTCAAAAAAACTTTGACTTCAAGCCATCAGTCACACAAAGAAAATCAGTATACCAAAAAGAAACATACCAAGGAAGGTGGCGTCGGTTCTCGCGGTGGTGATGAAGATGGTGGCGTTGATCCGGCCGGAGGTATAACGAGCAGGCGATGCTGTAGTCTGTTTGACTTTGCCACGTTTCGGGATATTCTCCTTATCTTGGGTGGAAGACCGCCGTTCCCGAGATCCGAATGCTTCAGATGGCGTCGGATCACCGGATGGTGACTGAAACCATACCATTAAACAAACATCCACATTAACCGCATTCTTCTTTTACAGCGCTTCGTTGATTCCTCTAACAACGGTGCAATCATTTGAATAGAAACCGTTTCCCAGATGAAGTCATTTCAATGTCCGACTTCCCTTTTCGTAGAAGAGAAAGGGGAGTTAAGTGCGGCGGAAGGCCGAGAAGGTATGGATTGGGTAGCACGTTTTCCAAGCCATAGGTCTTCTAACGAAGAGGTCATATAGTGAACCAGAAGCGTCAAATCCCTTATCTCAAACCAGTGCTCGCCGGCTGACGCCGGCGCGCCTCCTTCTGATACGGCCCGGCTGCGCCGGGCGGCGCGGCTTCGCCGCGCGTATTTCTTTCACATATTTCTAGACTCAACTGATATCCGCCTTTTGTTCTGTACTCCACTTTTTTCCGGTGTCTGAAGTACTCTTAAAGCTATTTTACAGATGTGCTTTCGCCTGACTGCGCCCCCTAAGCAGGTCCCGCCCACATGTTTTCGTGCCCTACAATCTGTCAACCCCGGCCGACGCCTCTGCTGACCCTTGATCCACTTTTTGTGCGGTCTTCGTGAAGTGCTCCTGGGAGCCTCCACAGCAGAAATTTTTTGTCTTGACTTCCGCTCAATTTTGGCGGTCTTGCGAGTGCTCTGGGACCGTTCGCATTGTCTGACTCCAGCCAACCCTCCGAAGCCAGGCTCCGCCGCCGAATTTTTGTGCCCACGCCGGTTACCGATTTGCGAAGAAAGGTCACACCGCCCACCTTGATACGCCCCGCCCATTTTGGATGTGTCTGCCACAGTTAGTCTGGCGACTCCTTACTAACCTTATTCCCTTTTTCCCCCATCTTTAAGCTGCTCCGGAAGCGAATTATGAACATTTTTCTGCGGAACCCCAAACTTTCGGCGAGTGCGTGGAAATGGTATACATAGGGTGATGACGTTCATCTAGGTCATCCCTCAAATCTCGAGCTGACGGATGGGAATAGGTCTTTTCAGAGGCAGAGCAAGGATTACTTCAGTGTTTCGATACTAACGCTACGCCGTAACGGACCATGATTTAAAATGGCCACACACATACACACGGTAAACACTTACCTCATCACCACCATTATATCCCCCGTCTCGCCCATGATCAGCTTCTTCACTCGTTTCGCTGCCATTCTGTTCCCAACATATATTATTCTTATTCGAACCCCACGGTCTAAAACAAGCAAGATGAGCAAAAAGCATGAGCATATACAAAATGATACGATGGAAACAGAAAGTGAATAGGCAAAATAAACCCACTGGGTTCGCTTCTCTTGCGGCTGTGCTAATGATCGATTCAATACCGTATCTATCAACCTGAAATCGATTACGATAACAAAATATGAATGACTCATCAACTTGCCCAACACCTTGCTTTACATACAGACAATTCGGTGACACTCAACACAACTGACAGATTCCTCAGTTGTACCCAGAAAATATTCCCGTTCAGAGGTAAATCTAACATGGAGGACCTATCCTTAACCTTCATACCGCTCAAAAGGAGCACATCACGCAAGGGCGGATTTTTCACAGCTGTTTCACAGACGATGATACATCAGTGAAGCCAGAAGCTGGTGAGATGAAATCGAAGATAGAAGAGGGAATTAAGCGGGGGAAGGGTGGCGAAAGGTGGAAGGGGAGCAAGAGACACTGGGTAGCGTGTTCCTATGCCAGATACTCTTCAACGAACGGTTTCCTAACACAGCTTCAGGAAATAAAGTTTGGCAGAATTTCACTTCAAAAGCTAAATTTCCAACAACTGAGTTCAACGAAATCAATTTAAGATCCTTCTCATCAGCGCCAGTCTCCCTCAAAGACGCTACAGCATTGATTTCTTTTTGAAACTGACAGAATGTATAACGAACCTCCTCTCGTATTCAGCGTGCTTGCCCATGTGCATATCCTCTTTTGTGAAACTGATATCACTATCAGCTATTTCATGTAAGTACATACATTCCTGAAATTGAAAAAAATCATGAAGCAAGGGAACAACATCAATGGTCACTGATGAAAATGAAGACAATCTATGGGACACTTCAAACAGTACTACTACACCAATATCAATCAAAACACCTCATTCTTGGTGGAACTTCAGACATTTGGAACCCGATCACTGAACTACATTCGTTTTTGGAGGCGGCGCCATTCAATGCCACCTCCGCTTTACAGCCAGAAGTTGAAATGAACAGAATTTCTTGGCATTCTCAATGCAAATGTGGCATTTACTACAGACCCTGGCGCCATAGGCTAGAGCAAAGCCGGTGCCAGCGCTCTTTTCCACGGAATTCGTCCAAGCTTGCATTTGAAGATGATGCGAGGCCCTTATCGCAGAGGCTCAATACTGTTCGGCGCCTACGCCGCTTCGCACTTACTAACTTTAAGGCTCTATTAACTTCAGCACGTTGTAGGGACAAAACAAGATGTCACTGGTGCCTCGTGAGCAGCTTGATGATCACTGAGAGCGATCAAGCGATGCCAAAGCTTAGCTTGGGTCATCCCATACAAAAGTGCCGTCGGTTTTTTTTTCGAATAAAACAAAGAAGAGAATAGATAAAAAGTAATATTTTGGCTTCAAGTCAAGTAAATCCCTCCTTCACCAATGACCGCTCCCAGTGCCCCGAAGGCCTTTGGACCTCTGGTACCTTCGATTTTTCAACAAGTGCGAGTAAATTGCTATTGCTGCCAATTCGGCGAATGACAAAACATGGTTGCGTTTGCCGTCAGAAAGTACTCTCGAATGACGAGAACAATTGGATCGCTCGGCTTTGGGGTGATTGAACCCAGGTCTCAGAATTTTTTTTTGTCCCAACGCAGCCCTGCAATACAGTCTGGCACTATGACGAGCAACGGTGGCCTTCTTGTAGTTGTACGGTATCATCCATTTGTCGATCTGATTGCAGAGGAACAGGCAATCTACACTGACAGCGACGATATTATTTCTGTAAAGAGCCGCCCAAGAATCTCAGTGTAGGAATCCTTCGCTTATATAGTAGCCGCTTCCCTATCACCTTTGCTTTTATTCCATTCCTCTATATGTGACGGCACTTTTGCGCAGTGGGGACGCCAAAAAAAGAATGCGATACTCGTGGAAATAACTGCAGAATGCAGATAGTATAAATCTGGCAAGAGACGACGGCATCATATTATGCGTCAAATGGTACCTGCGCCAAAACGAATGTATTTGGATAAGGGCACTGCATAACCCCTTCGGTTTGTTTCAGTAGAAAACAAGGGATGAAATTCTCGGCCAAAACGACAGCGTAAGTATTAATAACATTGTTCAATCGGTGAGGAAAGGCAGTAAAAAAAGTTACCGGTTTGAAGCATTTCTGACTCCGTAAAAAAGAAGAGCAATATTTCGTTGTACCCAACGAGGCCTTCACTATTCGACCATCTAGTTGAGCATTACAAACAGCCTGAACAATCATATCGTAACAAAACACTGTCAAATGCGATCTTATAAGACAGTTCGGTGACGCGAGGAGGAGGGCACTTTGCACTTTTACTACTTCCCGACTTTTCGACGCTTCTACAGAGCCATTACTCGAGGTACAATCGTTGATATGTTCTACGATGGTGCCTCGATGAGCTTGATCCAGCTTCATAAGAGTTCACAGGTTTCACCAGAGTGAGACTTGTAAACTGGAACAGTAGAAGCAGCGAAAGTGCAAAATGCCCTCTCCTGTCGTCGAACTATGCCAACAATTGAACTGACTAACGCAGGTTGAAATCGTACCTGTATAGCTCTCAAAGCTTCTTCGACCTTGCTATACGTCACATAAGCGGTATGACTAGGTTGTGCATGAGGGTGGTTAGCAGTAGGCGCCGTACCAACCACAACCTAGAAAGAAGGACTCACAGATCAGAAATCGCTCAATAGCACCTTTGTCAGGGCGCAGATACACCAAAAGCACAGAAAAGATCCTTGAAACAGACGACATACCTTGAGAATCTTCCCAAACCTCCCAAAATACTCCGGTTTCCGCAACGTGTCTGGATCGGCCACACGCGGAGATAGTCCCACAACATATACCAAGTTCTAGAAGAAGAGAAAAAATAAGCTGGGGTCCAGACGAGCGGAATCGTTTTAGAAGAAAGCCTCGCTTACCTTCTGTAAAACTCTGTAATTAGCTAGATGATTCCGTGATTCAGAAATTCGCAGCTTCTCAGCCTGCTGCTTTAACCGCTTCTCATCCTTAATCCGTTGAACATCCGCGCACGACAATGGCTGGAATTATCATACATGATGATCCTGACATTCAGGTTACACTAAAGGGATCATGTATGTTTCATTCGACCCAGTTCCCTTAGTGGGGGCATAACGACTACTGCCGAAGCCTCCTGTGGTGACCAGTGGATTCCTATAGCGATCAATAGTATGAACTTCGCCTACACGTGAGAAGACTCTACAGGTCTTGCCAAGGTGAGATGTGTCATTTAACATGAACTAAACTAGTGGGAACTAAAACTAGCGGGAATGCAAAATGCTCCTCCAAAGTCGAACAGTCGAAAAGAGCCTTTAATTCTTCTGTAAATACTTCTCGACAGAGTCAGATGCGAATGAGATGTTCAAAAGACCGGCCTTCTTCCTACCATTTTCAACTTTTAATTTGGACTGGTGGAATCCTTCCTCGTAATAGCACACAGTAAAGTCATCCTACGCAGGTTCATAGACAATCCTCCCCCACTAAACACGATGAACATTAGTCAATCAAAATGTAACAATCGAAAAACCATGTCTGAGCCCTCATAGGCTGTGGCGAGTGGCACAAAAGAACAGCTGACACACCACCTTTCCATGTCCTCCATGCTTAGTTAACATAGAAATATGCAAGGGTTGCTCTCATAAAAAAATGTACAACTGAAACCATCAAGCGGCTTGGTTAGTGGCAAGCGGCACTTACCACGCTCACGCCCTGGGGATCAAATCCCAGGATCGGCTCCCGCATAGGCCAACCGAGCCTCGTGCCCTCCAAGTTGATCTCGTACCAGTCGTCTAGGATGATGAAAACAATGCCTTGTGCACCAACTAACCGTGGCACTTTATTGTATGGTCTAGTTCTCTGCGAACGAAGGGGCGTGTCAGGGGAATGAGTTTGGCGCGGTGCCAAACCCGTTCTCCACCAGTTGTTGAAGCGAGCAAGTGACAAGACTGTATCATATCGTTCGTATCACTCGTTTTCTACCAATGTTGTCGCATACCCGCTTCAACAACTGGTAGAGAACGGGTTGGCATCGTGGCCACTCATGCTGCGTGACACACCCCTTCATCAGCAGCAAACCAGAGTATGTAAGCCACATCGCATTCCAAGTCACTGCGATTCAGAAAGGAAGTCGAATGCGTGCCAGAACCCAAAAAGGGATGATCAACAGCGAAAACAACCCTTTGCAACCACTACCCTATCAATTCCATTACCGTAAGGGTCATTATCTAACTACAGTATATCAAGAAATTTGCGCAACATGCGTCCACATCGGAGCTTTTCCCGCAAACAGCTGATTCATCGATGCAATTGTAAGCTGTGCGCAATTCGCTCCGCATCGATCATGCCACGTCAACAACACCCCCAGATCAATAGCATTGGCAAGGGTTTGTAAGGCGTGCGGAAACTGTCACCATAAAAAAGGCGCTGTACAGTAGCCATACCCGATATATATTCCCAATTATTTTTTTTCAAAAACGCCTTCCTTGAAGAATTCAGAATGATAAAGAAAATCGAAAGGTAATAAACCTTGAATGTAACAGGATCCTCCGGATACGGTTGCCGACAAGCAGGGCAGAGACCGTTTTCATCCGTAAGCAGACGATGCCAGCAAAACCTACAAATCTGAAAACAAAACTTCATGCACGTTATATGTCTGAGATAAGGTTCAAAGGAGGACCGAAAAGGTGAAAGAGGCAAGCAAAACATTTCACATAAAGTCAAACTTTGAACCTAGGCACTGTTACAAAATTCTCATGCTTTCTGTGCCACCAAAGTTATCAGCTGGACTTTCTCTCGAAGATCTGACGCTTCGACCATATTGTTGTCCTTAAAGACGCCTTCCGTCGCTGCATGGGCGGAGCGCCGTTCTATTAGATGTCGTTAATATAACACTTCGCATAATGCTATGGTGATGATAGAAATATCACCTGACGGGCATAAAAACGACATACGAAGAATAATGCTCTATCAGTTGAAGACCATTCTACGGCATCAAGGGATTTCATAACAATTACTGCTTAGTACTGGATGGCCGTTTGACGCGACCACTTTATTACCGACGTGGCAGCACTTGGTAGGCAAACCATCTTTCAGTTAAGGCAGCTCGTCCGAATAGTCGAACTACTGCAGTTCCCTAACAATAATTGGTCATGTGGAAACTGACTGAGACACAGTACCGAAATTAACGCTTACAGCCTATCATAAAGCCTATCAAATTCCGTAATTCCTTATAGTTCAGTGATTCGGACGAGTTACCAAACTTGGTTGACGTGAACCATTACCATTACCTATCACAACAGCACGGCATTGTGGGCGCGCCAAACGACCGCCTCATTTCGATACTAAGCTTCAAGGCTTGGGCTCAATGCGCAGAGACCAGGTTTGCCAAAAGATGGTCCACAGAGAAGACATAAACCCCTCTAATTCCAAGCCTTGTTTAGAAGAAAAAATACAGAGTGCTGGCGACCCATCACCTCCCCCCCCCCTCGCCAACCACATTAGCGCCCAGCATATAATCACAGATGAAATTATAGCTTTGGAGAGGTAATAAAATAAGTCTCTTGACATCCTAGTTGTGTTTTCCTTGTTTTGTGCCTTATAAATTTGCTCGCTCATTTATTCAGCCGTATAGCAGCGCGCTTCCCGCATGAACAGTGAAACTTTAGGTGTATTTGTTTTCCCGGTATTGCCGTCTACCCGAAGGGTTCACGATACGGGTCGGACTCTCTAAGAGTTTCTGCGAGATGAGGTACTTCATAAATCTAAAGCTATAAACATGTTCAAGCCCTTGAAGACGACGATTAGTTGAAACATGAGACCATATTGAATACAAGTTCCTAACAACCTCATAATGCACAACAGAGGAAAAACGCTTAAACTAACATACCAAAACTGCAGGGAGAAAAAGCTGGAGGACTCCCGAAACCTCTCATGGCTAGAAAAACCAAGCGAATTCAAATTGCTCTTGCCCCCGGCTAAAAAAACACACAAAACAACACGAGTTGGTAGAAGTAAAGCTATGAGTTTCTGGTGGAGTAGCGGTTCGGGACAATTTCGCAGAAATGCCGCCAGGAAATCATTTGAGTATTCAAAGATTCTACGACTTTCCACACTTCTGTGACAATATCTCTACAATAAAGGGCAAGTCGGCAGGAGGAGGGGGCGATTAATAAGACTGTGTAAAACTGGAGTATCAGGGCTTTTGTCAAACCTCAAATGTGTAAGTTCTCAACTTTACTTGTTTTGTACGTTACGAGGTTGATAGATGAAACAATTTATTCAATATGGCCTAACGTTTCGACTGAATCGTCGTCATCAGCCGACGGTTCCACCTTATGAGCGGCAGTGTCCGCTGCCACACAAGAGCGACAGTTAGTTGTGAATGGATGGATGAATGATGCTCAAATAGAGGTTCCCTAACTGCGAGGGTCTACAGGTATTCTCCCATCCTGGTCGAACAGGAAAATAAGAAAGAGAGATGAAAGAAGGAAGGAAAGGAAAGAAGGAAATGCACCCAAAAAAAGAAACGGAGGGAAGGTTTCGCGGTTTACAGATATAACTGCAATGAAAACTCACTCCTTGCACGATTAAGTTGTGCCACCCAACTCGGGTTTTTACATCCCATCCATCCCGACTTTGCGCAAGCAGTCATCCAAGTGCTCCCCAAGTGGTTCCACCCCGATCTTCATTACATCGACCCTTCGTGGATACCTCCGCTCAAAACCCCACAAACAACAGGCAATAGTGTGTGAGTTTGAGCCACCTACGATTCCATCTACTTATACACTACATTAACCAAGAACAGTCGGTGATATTTTCGAAAGTGTTGTCGGAAAAACGATGTTACTTTGTAAACCCTTTTCGGTGGAAGAGAACCCAGCGCCTCAGAAATACATGGGTGACTGCATACTGTCAACAGTTACCAGAAAACCCCTCACATCAATCGTTGGGCTTTTTCGGACGTAAACCAAAGATTTCTGGAGCCTTCCAAACTATATACAGCGTGCCCACGCATTTGGAGGACGTCATGTGCACCGAACGCCCATGCCGCAATATCGATTAGTCGTTAATAAAACACAGCTTTTTAAACTGAAAACAGCACATACGAACCTGATATTCACATTTACAGGGGTAGAAATCTAAGTCATCGATTTCGAGTTGTTCCATACAAAGCGGACACTGAAACAGTATAATGAGATCAGCGAGAATCCTGCAGTAAAAACTATTTTAGTTTAGTAAGTAATCAGAAACAAACTTACCTCCTTATCGGATTGCTCATCGCTACTGCACGACATCTTCACAGCGCAAACTCTATCAACAGAACCGTTGATAATACTGAAATTCACACACAACAATCTACCGTTTCACACTGCAACTGACCGTTAAATAAATCGAAACA